ACAAAAACCATCCCAGACGAATATTTTACTTCGATCCTTTGGCATTAGACGAACTGGCCTTTCGTTCTTATACCAATACTTTATCATGTTACAGTATAATTGGAAGCCATTTCGTCACTAAATAAGGTCTTTTTCCAATCATCATCTTTATATTTTTAGGCCCATTCAACATGTTTTTGCTTATGGGCTGGTGTTAGCATTAGTGTATAAAGGGGAAGTACATTTCGATATCCAAGGTCAGCAAAATGCCTCGAAACTGTTAAGCGGAAGACATTTACTTCAATATCTTCCAATTTAGCAGCAGCAGACTTGACAGAAAGTAAGGGTCCCTTTGAATATACTGTCCAATTATTCGAGATGCACTTGATGTTATTTTTTTAATATGTTCACTACCACTTTTATGTTTAACATACAAGTAACTTTAATTTTTTTAAAAGTTTCAGTAGAATCTTTGTCAATGAGTATTTCAGCAACATTGCAAATCCCTATGATGCATTTAAATGATGCTAAAGCTTATCGATAGAGTATCATAAGGCTTATTTTATGCATATATCAATTACACTTATCGATCTTTTTTTAAAAATTCTGATATATTAAGCTTCGATAAATTCCTTCGTATTACTAAATAATATCAATAAATCAGAACACATAAATTTTGAAATCTGAGTCCAAAATATTAAGACTGCCTATGTATTACATCTATTATATTATTTTCTAATTGCTATATCTATTACATTTAGTTTTATTGATTACTAGAAAAAAAAACTATAGTAAATTGCAATATTAAAAAAAAACAAATTTGAGGTATCAGACACCAATAGTTTTGAGCACCAGTAGTGTGGTTTAGTAAAACCGTTAATAATAATTAGAAATTAAAGAATCTTTTGCTTGATATAATTTCTATAAATGATTCTTATAGAGCTGAATTAATTACAAGCAAACTTTCACAACTTTTTGAAGAATTCAATATTAATCAGAATATTCTTGCTATGATAACAGATAATGGAAGTAATATAATAGTATATGGTAATTAATTAGCAACTGAATTAGATCAAGAATTTAATAATATGACTTTATTCATTTTCGATGTATTGCTCATATTATCAACTTGATAGTGAAAGCTGGAATGAAATAAGTAGGAGATGAAATTAAAAAACTTTATCAATTTATTGTTAAATTAAAAAATTCACCACTATTATTGGATAAATTATTAGAAATTTGTACTATTAGAAAAGTTAAATTTCTAAAGTCAATTTTATATATAGATATACGTTAGAATTCTACATATTTGATGATTACTAGATAAACTTTAATGTAAAATGTTTCTAAATTATTTATAACAACAAATCCTAAAGATCTTAATAATCATTTTCCAATAATTTCTAAATAGAATTGTATTAAGATATTTATTATTTATTATTTTATTTTATAATTAATTAATTATTATTTATTTATTTATATTTATTATTTATTTTAGGAATTATCATTAATTTTACAACCTATCTATGAAGCAACATAGTTATTATCATCATCATTAAATTCTACACAAGGTGATATTAGATTGATTTTTGTTGGAATGTTTAAAAAATTGAATCAATATCAAAGAAGAGGTCATCATATACAAAAAGAAATAGCATTAGCTATTTATAACAAATTAAAAAAATATTGGGATGATCATTTAAATTATACTACAATTTTTTTGGTATTAGATCTGCGTTATAAAATCACATTATTTGAAAATAATAACTTAGCTGGAATTAATAATAATATATAAGAATTATATAATAAATATTCTTCCTTAAATAATCAAATAAATTCAAAAAAAAATTATTGTTTTAGGATTACTTTCTTAATTTGCTTAATCAAAATAATTATCAAAGAATAACATATGATGAATTAGATAGATATCTAAATTCTCCAGTAGATAGTGATGCCAATCCTTTAATTTGGTGAAAAGTTCATGAAAAAGATTAT